AGAGCAGGGTTTAGGGCTGTTGTATACATAGGGTCGCTATGAGTCGCAGACGACTCGACAGCACATAACAACAACAACAACGAGACAACCCCTTGCTCCCGCCCCAGTTCAGTCTCAAGAATGTCTTAAGCTTGGAGGTAGCAAGTAAGGTCACCCAGCTCCATTACCAATGGCGATATCCTTCCAGTACTGTGCCAGGTGCTCCCCCATGGCCCGCAGGAGGTGTCGGTACTCTTTCGCATCAGCAAAGTCTTGCTTGTTGTGCGTAGGCTCCAGGACCAGATAGGGCACGTCAACCACACCAACAACCCCACCACAGGCCCTAAACGGAGATACAGGACACGCTTCTGTCACCGCTTCGGCTCAAAATCTCGCCACCATCCCCTCTGCGGGAGATTCCCAGGGCAGTACTCACATGCCCCCTTCCAACTGTGGGCCCACTTTCTCATACATCTTGATCAGCCGGCTACAGTTGTAGATAAACATGCCATCCAAGTCCCGATGTTCAATATTGACCCCAAAAATGAAATTCAGTTCCTTGGGTTCTTTAAGTGCTCTAAGAAGGCAGAAGACATATCTGAGCAAACCTAAGGACACAGACACTACGTGCTTGTCCACCCAGCGTGCAGCCTCCCTCACTACTGACAGGGATCTGTGTTTGTGCAGGGACACTGGGCTCTGACCATCTCCTAGCAAAAGGTTTTAGCAACAGAACAAGGGTGGATTTAAGCATAAATAAATTACTATGTTGCTGCTGCTGCTAATTTTTATAAAGGTCCAATAAACACAGGACTATCTTCTTACCTTCCCTCTCCATTTCACTAATGTAACAGTAAATTAATCTGTTACAAAGGACAAATGTTCTGGAGAACATGGAAATGGGAGAGAAGACACCATCCAAGGATTACTATGAATAAAACCTGGGACACTGGAAGGCAGATGGACTGACACAATGTCTGCCTGCATAAGGCAGGAAACAACAAGCAGTCAGGCAATCCAAGCCCCAGAACCCAGTTTGAGTCACGGGATACTTTACTGATACAGGGGGAAACAAGTTCCTTCTAGGTGAAACAGATGGTCCCAAAACACAATCTACAGTATGAGTCCAAATTTGAAATTGGCTTTACTTCATTTTAAAAATCAGAAAGGCAAAAATAAGGCAGGTGCCAATGAGCAGGGTATAAACAATATTGAATCCCAGGCAGCAGCTGCCCTGCCCCTTCCTAAGAAGCCCACCATCTCTCCTCCAGAGACGGGTATTTGGGATCCCACCACCAATGACTTTCTCTCTGAAGTTTTCATAACAAAAAGGCATCCGGGGGGTGGGTAGCCCTCGTACTTGTCTCACGTGTCAAGCGTCAGCACACGAGCACACAACCGTACAGGCCAGCACTCACCGCTGCTTGGCCTCCTTGATCCGCTTCTTGACATCAGCCTCCCTGCGCAGCGTCATGGCTGTGTTCTGCACCTGCCGCAGCATCACCTGCCAACGTGGCACAACCCAGAGTAAGGGAGGAGCTTGGCCACAGCAGGTGACAAACAATATCCTCATCTAAAAATTCTCACATTAGCATGGATACACAAAAACCAATCTGGCCATAGTTTTCAACAGAAAAAGGTCCTCTCTAGGACTGAATCACGGCTGTTGCACTCACTAGGTGGACCTCCTGATGTAAGGAGTAGGCCAACAGGTGGGAGTGGAATCCGGCCTGACTTCACAGGGCACAGGGACTGAGCCCCTAGATGCCTCAGCTTCTCTAGCCACAAACTGGGGATGATCACGGCGGTTATCTACCTCTTAAGGTTGACGAGATGATGAAATGATTAGCTTAAATTTTGGCAGAAAAGGTGTTCATTAAAAACTAGTGGTTATGTAAGCACCTTAACGTCCCATTTCTTCTCTTTAAGACAGAGTCGTGACCAGCCTGGGGAGTGCTGGCAAACCCAAGAATGGCTGGCTGGGTTCAGGAGTCCTTACCCTGGATTCCCTTGTGAGGTCTCCGCCAAGTCGCATTTCCAAAGTCCGAGCTTTGCTCTCGGCCTCTCTTGCCTTCTCTTCAGCTAAAACCCAGAAGAAATCATGATAAAAACTTCAAAGACTCAAAACCCTTGGCATTCCTGAGGGCAGTCCTGGGGAAACTCCTGCCCTGTTGGACCACTTTCAAGGGAAAGGCTAGCTCTATTCCAGGGAAGGTGGGAAAGGAACTGTGAAGAGCAGTGAGATGAACCTGCAAGGCCGGATTGCAGATGCCAATTGAAAAAAAAAAAAACCAACCCAAGAAAAATGCACTATTTCTTCCTCACATGCTCTTATACTTTTTAAATGAATTCTAGAAGGCCCCAAATGCCAAGGTAAGCCTTCCGCATAGGCTGGAAGCTAAAGAAGCCCCCAGCCCATCTTTATCCATCATGTAGCCAGAGGAAGCCCAGACCAGCACTAGAGGCAGGAAATTTTGCCCTGGAGTCAGGAAACCCAACTACACAAGTAGTCAGGCCAGGGGAGTGTGGGATTTTCCACTTTGGGCATGCAAAGAGCTGCAACAGTTTTAGACAAATCCCTATAAATGGACTAAAAGACATAAAATGGCCTGAGGAGAAAGCACCAAGAGGGCTGGATGAAGAGAGATGCAAGGAGCACAGGAACTGGACCATTTGGGAGGGCAACTTTGCTCCTGGGCGTTGCCAGGAACCTTTTCCTGGATCTCTGCTTTAGCTTCAGCTCCCCCCAGTTCTCCTCCTGCATGGGATGGCATTACCAATCCGAGCCATGTGCTCCGCCTTCTTCACCTCCTGCTCTGCGCGGGTCTTGAAACGGCTTGATGTGTACTTGTACATCCTGAAGAGCAGAAGAAAAATCCACCTTAGAGGGCCTGGGCAGCAGGAGGACAAGGCAACCAACGCAGGAAGCTCAGGAAGACTTTGCCTTCCTGCCTCCTCCCTTAGTCCTTCATGGTGAAAGACAAACACAAGGTTATTTCAGCAGAAAGAGCCAATTTCTTACTCCATGTGTCATGATCTTACTAGTCACCAAGTGGTAATCATCAAGTTCATTAATCCTACAGCAGCAACAAGTTATAAATAGTAAGCCAGGGCCTGTGCTATGTAGTATCCAAAGTCCCTGGCCTTGAAATCAAGGGGCTCAACAGTTCACTACACCAAGCAAGGTGCCCTCCATGCTGGAGGCATTTAGCCCACAATGCAGTCAGCCAACTTCAGAGCCAGAGCTGCCACCCTCTACGTTTCTTCAGAACCTACTGGTGGTTCTGTAGGAAATTGAGACCCAAATGTAGTAAGGAACTGTCAAAACCTCTTACAATGAATCATTAAACGTCCTGGGCCTAGGGGAAGGGGGCTGCAGTAGATAGTGAGTTGTGCTGTCAACTCAAAGGTAAGTGGTTCAAATCCACCAGCTGATCCACAGGAAAGATGGGCAATCTCTGTGAGATGTAAAGCCTCTGAAAACTCACTGTAGGGTCAATTATATGCCAGTTCCATGCACAAAGAGAGAGAGAGAGAGAGAGAGAGAGAGAGAGGGGCAGGCCTATGGTAGATAGAAGATGTTACCTACCTAGGTTTGTACAGGCAGCAGGAAAGCCTCTTGGTCTGTACTTTGTGTCCATGAATGAAAATTCTCATCCGGGGATCAATATACATAACTGCTGCATAAGCACGGAATGAGCGCCGCTCTGGCTTCCTAGAAACAGCAGAACAGAGGACTGTCACAGGTCTGATTAAAGATTCAACTCCTCTCTACAGGCCCTCCATCTCTCCCTCTCATATCCCAGTCTCTCTTGTCATCTGGACAGTGTGCTCCTTCAGCCTGCGTGCCACCTCTCCCACTTCATGGTCCCCAGCACAGGTACTTCAAAGACATCTTCACAGGTGGTTATTGTTTAAGCCAGGGTTCTTGACCAGGTCTCATCACTAACCCACTAGGGAACCCTGTCCATTTCTTTCCTCCTCCCTGGGCCTCAGCTGCTTCTTTTATCAAATTAAGGGGTTGGACCAAGTGATTATGTCTCTTTTCTTCTGGCTCAGCTGAGGATTTGATGGCCTTCTACTCATCTGACCGTTGTCGTGTCAGGAAGACCTTCATTCTCATTTGTCATTAGCTGTCCCAGAAGAAATCGGAAATAAGCTCTTCCTTTCCCCTCCCTGAAATCAACTCCTGAAATTTTCTGAGAATCAACTGCAGTTGCAGATGGCCTTCCCTTCCCAGCCAAACTCACGTGCCCTCCGGGGAGGTCTCTGCCATCTGGATGTCTCTTGGATTTGATATTATGTCTAGCTCCGGCTCTCCATTATCCATGAGTTTGAGATTGAAAATGATCACCAGCGTTCCTGGGGAACAAAATGCCTCCTTTCATTCTGCTTCTGGGCGTCCACAGGCCTGCCCCACCTGACTGGTGACTGGTGCTGCCAGGTTCTAGGGGCTGCTTACCACTCTCTCCAGGAATCTTCTTGAACTGGCTCATCACATCCTCCTCATTGCGGAAGGGGGAGTACTTGTAGATGAGTTCTGTCTCGATAGCAAACTTCTCCACATTATCGGTGAGAGGCTCCTGGGTCTGGGCATTCCACGTGGGCAATGGGACAATCACCTGCAGAGTAAGCCCAAGCAGACACTGGGGAGGGAGGACCCACAACAGCCTTCTCTCAAAATGCACATGTATCTAGTTCCTCCCCTGAGCACTCTGTAATGCTGTGAGGTAAAGCCCAGCACCTCAGCCTGGTGGCGCCAGAGGCTTGCTGGTGCTCAGGACCTTAGCAAGATTTAACCTGTGCCCCTGCCCAACATTCAGCCATATAATGTTAGTTCCTTTATGAATAAACTGGCTTATGGCCTGGCAGTTCTGCAAAAGTGGTTCCCTCTGAATGCAATGTCATCTAATTTGAGAAAAACTCTACTCTTAAATTACTAAAGAAAAACATAGCCACACTTGTCCAGTCAATCTGTAAATAACAAAAGATTTACAACTAAACAATTCTACTTGGCTCAGTAATCTACTCCACCCTTGGAGAAATGTCTGCACACTTGCACCATCAGACTGTATAGGCAAGAACACTGCAACATCAGCTATAACCACCCCAAGTGGAATTAACCTGAATACCCACCACAGAGCAAATAAACTAAATCACAGCACATTTACACAACGGCGTACTGCAGAGCGGTAAAAGCGAATAAATGACTAATATCAACACTCTTGGTACCAGCAGCCAGGAAATCAAAAGACAAATTGCACTGGGAAAGTCAGGGACCATTCCAGAGTACTGAAGAGCAACGACAACAGTCTGGAGACTAAAGTGTGCATGATCTAAGCCATAGTCTTCGCAACTGCTTGCTATGTGTCAGAAAGCTGGACAATGACTAGGGTTGATAGAAGGAGAATTGATGCCTTTGAGCTGTGGTGCTGGAAAAGAGTATTGAATAATACCATGGACTGCCAGGAGAACAAACAGATTCATGCTAGAGAGGATGAAATCAGACTGCTCCGTGGAGGAAAGTATTGTGAGGCTTCATCTGACATACTCTGGGCAGGTTGCAAAGAGGGAAAAGTTCTTGGAGAGGGACATTATGCTTGGAAGGGTGGAGGGACAGCGTGAGAGAGGACAACCATCAATGAGATGGATTGATTCAGTGACTGGGATAATGAGGGTAGGTGTGTCAGAGACAGTAAGGCTGGCACAGGATAGAGCAGGTTTCAGGACTACTGTACGTGGGGTCGATGGCACATAGCAACAACAAGAATGAATCTCACAAACACAATGTTATACGAAAGAAGTCAGATTAAAAATTGAAGCATGTATGAATCCTTTTTTATTATTATTATTATTTGTGTGTGTGTACCATCAAATTGGATCTGGCTGGTACAGGAGGAGACTGTCCCTCCTTCTCCAGCAGAGCATCTGGTGGATTCAAACTGCATACCTCTGGGACTGCAATGCAGCTTCTTGCCACAAGGCCACCAGAGCTCCCTATGAATCCACTTTTTAAAAAATTCAACAGATAAGCAAAATGAAACTATTATTTAAGGATGCACACACAGGTGGTAAAATGATGCGTACACTCACACATATATAAACATGTAAACATACATGATATGACCAAAGTCATCTTCAAGGGCAGGATGAGGCTACGACTGGTCCAACAGGTTTTTAAACATCAACCTGTCACATAACATTTCTTTTAACCTGCTTTATTATCATTCTCTCAAGTTTACATGTAATTTTAACGTACTTTTTCAAATGTTTAAGTTTCTCTAAGTAGTTTTTAAAAACCTACACTTTCTCCAAAGACTTCAAGTGCTCCTTCCCCAGTACCCAGATAGCCTCAAATGTCTGAGGGACTCCTTTTGCAGACTGGAGGCACCCCAGAGGTTCAAATCAGATCAGATGGCCCAGCTGTGGGAACCCTTGTCTTTCAACTAGTGTCAGTTGAGAAACTATTACAGGTTCTGACACTCTTTCCTGGTTTCTAAGAACCTGTGTGCTGATGGTAATTCACCCCAAAGCTAGTCTGTATATTCTTCTCCAGCCGAAAATGAGCCTATTTTGAAATCTTGGCTGAGTTCACATCAGAGCACAATCCAACCGAGTGACCTTCTAGCACCAAGTAAGGAAAAAAAATTTCAACCTAGCTTTTTCGCCAGGGGAACTAAGCTCCATTTGTGTTCTGGGAGCTATGCCTCCTCTCTATCTGCTCTCCACAGCAGCCCTGGTGACGAGGGCTTCACTGGAGAGCATGCTTACTCGCTCACGCTTGGTATTTATCCTCCAGGCAGAATGTTCCAACACTGCCACACTCTCCCCGTTTCCTTCACACCATCTGGGCCAATCCTGTGTCTCGCTGGCTGCTTTTCTCTCTCTCCAACCTTTAACTGTTATGTGCCCAAGGCCCTTAGGTCCCTGTCTTTGCTTAACATTCACAAGCCAGCTCAACTCATTTGCTACCACAAGTCCTGGGGCCTACACTGCCCTGAGCACTACTAAGGTACAATGTTGACAAGTCACATTCCTTCTCTGCACAGTGGACCCCTCCCTTTCTTCTCTAGATTCAAACAATCCACCGTCTCCCAAATGCCAGAGTAAGCCCCATGAATCCAGCCAGAGGCTCATGTTCCCTTTACCCTTCACCAAATATACAGATACTACACACTAAAAAGATGACAGACTCTTTCTCTTTTCCTATCAGCTATAAGCATCAGGCTACCTATAATAGAGTATTTCTTTCCACCTCTCTGCTATACATACCAGCCAGGTTACACATAACACATAACCAGGGCCTCTCAATATGCCCACTCTGACACTACCTCTAATCTTGCTACTCAAAGGTAGCACACCCCTTTACCCTTTAACACACCCCTCACTCTACCCTTGGGGCCTTCAGACATCTCTTTCTACTCATTAAACACTCTCTTCTCTCCAGCTCTGAACTCCAATTCTTGGACGTGAGGGTGCTAAGAACCTCAACTGAGTCTAGCAAGCGACATGCTCTCTTCCCTTCACAATGAGGAAGAGTTCCCAAGAACCAGCTGGGTAAAATATCTGAGCCCCACAGGGACATAAAAATAATCAGCTGAGTATGTTTAGCTACCACAGTATGTTACCAAAGCCTTTTAAAATCAGAATATTCCAAATTCTTTAGACTTCACAGCTAACACAGTAATAGTAATCAGAGCTGGATCTGAGTAGCAGTCACTCCCAATAAAGGCCACCTGTCAGGTGTCACTGAACAACTAGCTTATACTGATGCCTGTTATGTACTCACCTGCTTCACTACCTTCCTATGCCCTGTGGGTGTTGTGATTCGTGGCTTCTGATATACGCGATTAGAACAACATATTTCCTCAAAAGGAAAACTGCTCAGAGCACATTCCTAGAACTGCCACCCAAATGGGAAAGATACTGCTGTTTTGATTACTGCCAGCTGTGGTCTCCATCCATCCCCAGGAAAGCCTGAAACACTCCTCTGGTACTGCAGCACCCTCCAGAGATGCCTTGCAGCCTGAATTCATGCTGCAGAGCCCAGGAAATCTCCAAATACAACTCTTGGTTCCTGCCGCCGGTCATCTCATTCTCAGGAACAAATCAGCTTTTTTTTTAAAGTGCTTTGAGGTTTCACTTCCTCTTATGTCACAGGACACCTAACTGAATGCTGTGACCAATTCATCTGACTCCCAAAAGGGGTGTGTGCCTCAGTTCCGCAATGAGCCGTGAGGTCTGTAAACAAATCCTGTAGGCACAGCCCGAGCAGCCCTAGAAGACTTATGATGCAATGGCTTGAGCCATGAGGGTAAGACCTACTTCATCAATGCCTTCTTCCTCGTGGAAGGTGCGAGACAGGAAAAGGCAGGTCATCGTGTTGTCCTTCTTGGTGAAGAGGATAAAATCCTTTCCAATGCGCATCGAGCCCCTGAAAGGGAGGTAAAAATAGGTTATTTAAAAATGTAAGCACAAAAAAAGAAAAGTAAAAACAGCAACCACCAAAAAATATAGGCACAAAAAGTTCACCTGTAAGAGTGAAAAATCGCCTTCTGGATATTGGCTGACTGATGTCTTTTGTAGACTCCCCTAAAGTTTCAGGACCTTTGACTGAGTTTCACAACATTTCTCTCCCTACTTTCTTATCTACCTGTGCCCCTTTCGCTGGCCTGCAATCCATGAACGCTTCCCTTTCACTTTCTTCACTACAGTACCCCAGGCCCTCAAACCACCTTCTAGGGCTCAGGTCTGACCGCCAACCCCAGGTTAGTCTCATTCTCAACCAGCTGCTGTACTGCTAATAAGTAACCAACCCTCCAGTCTGTGATTTCTGGGGTCATCCTAGCTGCTAGCCTCACAGCAGCGAGTGGCCTATCTAGTGATCAGATGTCATTACAATAGCTACTATCTTTAATATGTCAATCTTCCATGCTAACCAAATCCAATTCTCACCCTATACTCTTACAGATGCAAATTCCCCTCCTACCCACTCATCTAATAATACACCATCAGAAATCCTCAAGACTATATGAACCCAAGGTTCAGTCATCCATATAAAATATAATTTCTTGACTACAGGATTCAAAGAGGTCTATACTATTGCTTGGAGAGGGACATCATGCTTGAAAATGTGGAGGGACAGCAAAAGAGAGGAAGACACTCAACCAAGCAGACTGACACGGTGACTACAGCAATGGGCTTGAGTGTGTCAGATATTGTGAGGCCGGCACAGGACAAACAGGGTCAGATCTGTTATTCATAGGATCACTCTGAGTTGTATTCAACTTGATGGAACCTAACAACGACTGTGGTTTAAGTGCTTAGCTGCTACCAAAAGTTGGTGGTTCAAATCCATCAGCTGCTCCACAAGAGAAAGATGTGGTAATCTGCTTCCCTAAGGATCCCACCTTTGGAAAGCCCTGTGATAGCTCTACTCCATTCTACGCAGCTGTGGAATTGGAACCAACTTGAAGGCTTGCAACAGCAGCGTAACTGGCTCACATCCAGTCACTCCAGTAATCTTCAGTCTCCGAACTGTTTTTGCCCTCACGAGCTCATTATGACACAGGCATCTGGATGCAACCACATGATAGTTTCTGGGAACCATGCCTTGAGGCTGCCTTCCATGAGACAAAACTGAATGGAATCAATGTCCTCCTTCCTGTTTGGCCAGTGCAAACCACCAAAGAGCAGGCGAGGACAGGCCTTTTCCCAGCAACTTGGAGCAGAACAGATGTGTGAGGCTCCTCTCGGAGGTTTGCCCACTCAACACGGAAGCTGGTGAGCTCCTCCGGCCCAAGTAGCTTCTGGGGCATTATGGTTATTATCTCATTAGTGTTCCTAATGCCCCAGGGAGAGGAAGGAGGCAGGAAACCCTCTTCCACATGCAAACACAAAGCAGGCTGGCATGCCAAACACACAAACGAATACTAGGCCCCATTTCCACCCTGCTCAGGAAAATGCCCGGGGCATTATCCACAAATACCAGTGGCTGCCAAGTCCTGTTTCTTCTTTTCCAATTCCCTGCCCTGACTTATGACTCCCTTCTTTCTCCTTGCAGATGATGCGAATGACCCTGCCTTCTAGTCAAGTTTGGTTTTGCCCTAATTTGGTAAAAACCTCTCACTTTATGCTTCTTTCTCCTGTCTTTGATCCAGGATCTCAAGGCAAAAATAGTAAAAAATCCAAAGCCACCACCTTTCTGTTGGCTTTCTCACTTTTCAAAGCTCTTTTTACCACAAAGCACTTTCTCCTGGAATCCCTTTCCATATCGCGGTTGGTTCAAAATGAATACACTGTCTACTGGGCACACTAGATAGCTCTAACTCTCACATGGCTCTTGAGGAGAGTGGTTTTAAAATACGCTAACAATCCAAACTTCAGTACACCCCAACGTCAAGAGTCACTTTTCACTTGTGCCCGAACCTAACTCTCTAAGAGAACCTCACTGTTTAGATGAGGAAACATACAAGGAGGTTAAGAGGGCTCTGCCCAAGACCACAGAACTGGCAACAAGGTGGGCAGCAATGCAGGTAAAGCAAAGTTAGTTGTTATAACATTGACTCAACAACTGATTGCAGTCTAGTTGGAACCAGGTTATGGCTGACCCTCCAGCAGATTTTCAGAGGTTATAAATCTCACAGGAACTTGCTCAATTTCCTCTCAACAAAGAGCTTATGGATTCAAACCTCTTTCCTTTGAGTTGCCAGCTCAAGTCTGGACCCACTAGGCCAGCTGCTGTCAAACTGAGCCCTGACTCTGGCACCACGTATCCAACAGAACTTAACACGCAGTTGTCCACTGACTGCTGTCATCGTCAGGGTTTTCACGGGCTGACTTTGGAAGTCGACAGCCAATCCTTAGCCTGGATGGAAGCTTCAGCACAAACATTCAGTACCACAGTAGCACATCTGATAATGTCTGGTGGCTGCACTGGTGGGAATCAAACCCAGGTCTCAAGCATGGAAGGCTAGGATTCTGTCACTGAGCCACTCATGTCCTCCAAAGAGATACTGTTGTTAGGTGCCCTCAGTCAGTCCTGACTCAGCTCATGAGATAGAACTGGCCTACCGGTTTCCTAAGGTGGAACCTTTAAGGAGGCAGCTGTCAGGTCTCCCAAAGCTGCTGGGTGTGTCTAGATCATCAATCTTTTGATCAGCAGTCAACTGCTCAACTGCTGCCCCACCAGGGATCCTTCTATAGGACTACAAACAAAAAAACACATATGCACTGCCATCAAGTCTCCTGTACACTGGGTTATAAACCTTAACAGAAACAAATCTGCCTCATCCTTATCCTGCAGAATGGCTGGTGGATTAGAACGCTGGCCTTCTACTTAGCAGCTCTGAATCACAGCGACCTTCTGCTGGGTTTCTGAAGCTGTAAATAGCAATGGCAGGAGACTGCTGGTGGTTCTCAACTCCTGAAGATGCCCAGTCTCTGGTTTAGCAGCACTATGGACTATGCCACTGGAGCTCATTAGATACCACTGAGTCAACCATGACTTGTAACAACTGATACTATAACGTAGTAAGTCACTCATTCGCTCACTGTCATCAAACTAGAACTGACTCAGAGGCCAGGAAATGCCTAAGGAGAATACCTGTCTTTTCCCAACAGCACAGCTGATAGATATGTATCACCAGAGTGGCACTGCCTTTGGGCTAGTGGCACAACTTCCTACTGACTACGCCACCAGAGCTCCCCACCACAGGGCAGGTTAGCTGTTGTTCTCAGGTGGTGTCAACTCAACTACAATTCACAGTGATGCTGAGAAGAAGGGATCTGAGCCCTGACTGATCCTGGTACAGTGAGATCCAATTAGATTATTCATGTCAAGGTTATAGCACAGTGCCTGGCAAAGTGAGTGTTTATTATTTGCATTTGGTTCCCACTCTCAGAGACAAGCCCAGTCTAGGCACGTCCTGATTTCATTGGAAGCGTATTCTCTGTGCCACGTAGCCACCGCCTCATCAAGCAGTCTGCATATGCGGCACAAAGCCATGCTGCTGACTAATTAAACCACCAACTTTCCAACAAACCACCACGTTTCTACAGCGGGAATGGAAATGTGACTCATCATTCCATTTGCACAAACTCCCAATTCCACTACATCTTATTCCGTCCAAAGGTATGTACAGCTGGATGGGAGCATTTCAGAAATAGAAACCTTTCTCTTGGGGCTTCACTCAAAATCAGAACACCACATTCCAAACACTAAACAAGTGGCTCAGAAAGAGGCCCCAAGGGACTGGAAGACTTTAGGTGGGCCTCTGCTACAGGGCGACGGAGAACATGTCCTCAAGGAAGTGAGGCTCAGCTCTCCCTTAAGCCACCATGGTATCTTCAGGGCCTGGTTCAAAGCAGGTCACGAGACAGGTGCTTGGGGTGAAGCACTTTCTATTGTGTAGAAGGATGGAGGCCCCTAATTAGCCCACATTCCAACCACTCATATCTTTAACCACTAGATAAAAATAAAAATTGTCAACAAGAGCAGAAGCCCAGTTCTAGAGGTCAGGGCCAGGAGAAACGTTCAGCCTTCCCCAGTCCCCAGATGGTTTAGACATTGACATTTTCCGTACGCTGAGCAAATTCTGCTGGTACACAGGCCCCTAACAGGTCCTGTCTACTTAACTCCTGTTTTACAGAAGAGGAAAGAGCAGGGCCATTTTTGTCAGAGAAAGGAATGCATTCATCCTTTGATTTTTGTTGAGTCTTAAAACAGACTTATGTTATACTTACGATTTTAACCCATTCCCATACTGCCCGATCTGGGTGGACTCAGGTGTTCGCTTGGCCGATTTTCCAAACTGAATCACACTGGCAGCATCATCTAGGGTGGGGAGGTGACAAAATGAGGTCTGAATTTCTTTCCTAGTTTCTTCATGTTTACAGACATGCCATGAGCCCAAGAAGGGCTGTGTCTCTACTAAAAACCGTTCTACAAGGAAATGCCCAACCACAAGGGCAAATGGAGGCAACCTGTGCCTGGCCTAAGAATCTTAATGTGTCTCATGCCTGCAGAAAATGGTAATAAGGTTGGGGGAGCGCCCCACAGTTCCAGTTCTAAAATACTGTACAAACTGGGGAACACAACGTTAAATGATAGATAATCGAACTTCAGGTTGCCATTCAGCTTCTATCTCCCATGCTCGGACAAGACCCGGCAAATACTCTGGTAATTAAGTCTGGTATGTTGCAAGAGACCTCCAGGTGGGTCTTCTATTCACAACAGCAGGCAGAAGAAAAAACATGTTTACAGAACAGGATGGGATGGTGTTTTGTTAAAATGGTTACAGCCTCCCCCGGAAAAGCATAACTATCTCATCACTTACTCGAATCCATTCCTGCGCCATCATCCAAAAAGCAAAGCATGAAGCCTCCTTGAAGGTTCTCTCTCCTTTCTGTAAAAGAAACATCTGTCATTACTTGGTACTGCCAACCTGTGGATGACAGCAGGGTGTGATCAATGCAAAAAGGCCAGAGTAAACCTAGCTTCTCCTCTGAACGTCTCAGCTAGTCTGAGGGCCCTTGTGGATGGAGAGCTCATAAAGCTCCTGTGCATGACAAAACCCAGGAGACTTTAGAAGATGGGCACAGAATACCAGCTTGGGCAATTATACACACCCAAGGCCAACGAAATGCAGATGGTATTTCATACATACAGTCATCCCTTGCTTCTAAGCATCTGGATTATTGCCTATAACCTCTCCCATGAACACTTGCTCCCCTGCCCCACCAAACTGTTCAAATACACTATAGTTTATCAACACAGCTCAAACTCAAGAGAGACTTCCTATGCAAGTAAGTCTGGGGTACCCTTTAAAGATGTGACAGTTGTGGCTGAATACCACTGATTCAGAATTGACCCACAGCTAATCTCAGATGAGGAGACTGCCCATCTTTCTCTCATGGAGGACTGGTGGATTTAAACCATCTACCTTTGAATTAGTAGGACAATTAGGACAATTCCTTAACCACTAAGCCACCAGGAGCTCCCTCCACATGTGACTACCCTCAGGCTAAATGTCATTTTCTGAGAGTTCTTGTATTCATCATTGTATCCTTTGTTTGCTGTGGGTCCCTGAAAATGGCTCTTCAGTCCAGGAGGGAGGCAACAGCCCTTAGTCCAGTGATAGCTCTCTGGTTCCCATTTGATCTCACTGAGTAACAACAGGCATAATTATTTCTTTATCAAGACACACGGCACCATGGCAGGGCTTCCTGGCCTAAAGTGAAGGACCACAACAGACTCACATTGTGGTTCCCATCAGCAAAGAATGGTTTTCTTTCAGGAACTGTCTTCTACAACACCAAGCAGTCACTTAAAGTAACCTGAATCCAAGCAGGCCATGGGCACTAAGGATGGGATTCCCAAACAAAGCAGGGGCTATTTACTATAATCTCCAAGGTAGAGATTGGTCCAACAATGGGGATATAAAGAAGTGCACTAGTGCTGAAATCAGATTACAGACATAAAGAGGAGGAAACAGACAGAAGTAAGAGGAGCCACCACTAATGCTCCATACTAGTCAAGCAAGACACCACCATCACCAACAGAACTACTATATAAACACTTCACAGGGGTGAAAAAAAGTGGTCTGTGCAAAGTAGTGCTGAGACAAGCTCAATACTGCTTTGGAGCCTGCTTCCTAATTGAGAATATTTTTCAGACCCCCTCCACAATGCAGTTCACTAACTCTGTAAACTATCTAAGCTGAGATTTTGAATTAAAAAGCCTTGGTCCTACCCACAGGCTAAAGACTCAAGTGAGTCAAAACTGCCTTCTTTTTTATTATTTTAACTAATTTTAATGAAACTTTACAGAGACTTTGGATTTCCATTCATTCATTGTTGTACTTTTCTCCTTGCCCACTCCTCCCCCCAGTTCACTCTTCTCTTTGAAAAGTCAAATTCTTTCATTATTATACAATACCCCCCCAAGTGCACCCCACTATGCAGCCTTCATTCTGGACTCCTTTTTAAACAGTTCTCTCCATCATCTGTTTCAATGCAGTATATATAATTTATCCCATCTTTCTCAGTCTCTCCCCCCCCCAACTCCCAATGTCAGTCCCATTTTATAACAGGGGCACTATGCAGTATTTGTCCTTTTGTGACTGAGATATTTCACTCAGCATAATGTCCTCCAGGGTCATCCATTTTGTATATTTCATAAGTTATTTTTTCAAAGAAATATAGTATTCCACTGTGTGAATATACAATAGCTTCTATTTGTTTGTTGATGGGCACTTAGGTTGTCTCCAACTCTTTGCTATTGTGAACAAAACAGCAATAAACATGGGTGTGCATATATCTGCTTGGTTGGTGGTTATGGTTTCTTTAGGGTATATTCTCAGTAGTGGAATTGCTGGATCAAATGGTATTTCTACTTGCAGCTTTTTGAGAAAGCGCCGTAGTGCCTTCCATAGTGGTTGCACCATTTGTTTGCAAAACTGCCTTCTGTTAAATGGACTAGTCAACATGATTTAAAATGTTCTGAGGAAAGCATAAAGTCATCACAAAGGCACACAGAGAAAGCAAAGACCAAAACATCGGATGTGAACAGAGATGGAAAACTGTACCAGAATGCAGCCAGGCCAAAACAAAGGGAAGAAATAGGGTGCAAAAGAAATTAAGATATTTCAAAGAACAGTTTGACAAGCTTTATAAAAATGTGCAAAGAGCCAGAATAAGAAAATCGAAAGGAAACAATATACTTGGCATTTCTCAAGCTGAAAGAACTAAAAAATCTAAAGAATTAAGATTTTGCAACACCAGGCTTGAATGATGCATAAAGCATCAAAAGAAGATGGAATGAATACAGAGTTCTTTCTCAAAACAGAGAACTGGTCAACACTGAAATATTTCCAGAAGTAGAATATGATAAAAAATGAATGCTGATGAAGGAAGAAATTCAAGCTGCACAGAAAGCACTGGAAAAAATGAAGTCTTAAGAACTGATAGAATACTGAGGTATTTTACCAAACAAATGCTGCCTTTGTTGGACAATTGCACTTGGAAACCCTATGAACCTGGAAAAAGGATGAAAGTTATACAAGCGTGCAGGTCTTTCGTTCATAGTGGGCCGCTCATTCTCAAAAAAAGTGACCCAACAGACTATGGGAATTATTAAATAATATCATGATTATCACATTTAATGGTTACCCAACAGACTATGGGAATTATTAAATAGTATCATTATTATCACATGGTTACCCAACAGACTATGGGAATTATTAAATAATATCATTATTTGGTGGAGCTCCCCAATTAAAACAAGCTTGGAAGCAGGAGTGTCATCCACTTCCAAAATAGCTTGCTTCTGGAAACCCTATGAACCTGGAAAAGGATGAAAGTTATACAAGTGTGCAGGTCTTTCGTTCATAGGGCCTCAATGAGTCACCTATGACTCGACCACACTTAACAACATTATCACAAGTAAAGTCTTACTGAAGATTATTTCTAAAATAACCAATACAACAACAAGGAAGAGCCAGAAATTCAAGTTGGATTCAGAAGAGGGAATAAGAGATAACATTGCTGATATCAGATGGACCTTGGTTAAAAGCAGAAAATATCAGGAAGATGTTTATTTGTGTTTTACTGACTAAGCAAAGGCATCTGACTATGTGGATCATTACGAATTATGGATAGCACTGAGAAAAGAATGCGAATCCCAGAGCACTTAATTGTATTTATACGAAACCTATACCTAGTCCAAGAGACTATTGTCTGAACAGAATAAGGAATAATGGTTTAAATCAGGAAGTATATTGTCAGGGTTGTAGTCTTTCTTCATACCTACATAATCTTATGTTTGTTGAGTGAATCATTCTATGAAGAATAATGTGGTATAAGAATTGGAGAAGACTCATCAACAACCTTCCTTATGAAGATAACACAACCTTAAAGTTTGCTTCTTCCAGAAGGAAACTTTGATGTCTTTTGCCCTTGATCTGCTCACCGTATCTCATTTAAATTCTCTGGTGTGTGAAAATCCTAAAACACTTGCTGAAAAGGATCAACGACTCCAAGCCTTCAATATGGGTGACATCTCCACACAAAAAAAGTAATTCCAAAAATCCTCACTATTTAACCAGCCCAGACAACATCAGGATGGAGAAAACACTAAACTTGTCAACAATTTAATATTATTTGGATAATAAATCAATACCCATGGGAACAACAGCCAAGAAATCAAGATGTGCTGCACTGGGAAAATCTTTTGTCAAGGACTTTTCGAAAGAGCTAGAGAGCAAAGATGTCAGTTAGGTATGCTTGACCCAAGCCAAAGTCTTTTTAATAACTTGCTTTGCATCTCAAAGTTGGACAATGAGTAAGAATGACAGAAGAACGAATGCCTTTGAGCTGTGATACTGGAGAAGAGTACTATCTCATGAAGAAGAGTACTGACAATCTCATGGACAGCCAAAGAACAAATAGATTTGTCTTGGGAAAGCAGGAACTAGGCTGCTTCTTAAAGGATAGTTCAACTTCCTCACATACTTCAGGTATGTTGTCAGGATAGGTCAGTTCTTGGAAAAAGATAACATGCTGGGAAAGGTGAGGGTCAGATAAAGAGAGTAAGATCCTAAACAAGATACAGTGACTGTAACAATGGGTTCAACATATCAAAGATAGTGAGGATGGTACAGACATGGCAAGGTTCAGATCTGCTGTTCATAGGGTAGCACTGAGTAGAAGACTTTATGGCACCTAACATTTCAGAAAGGCCCCAAACCATAGACATTTTCAACTATCTTGAACTCAGTGTTCAGAAGCAATTTAATTACCAAAACATAAATTAACAAGTAGGTCATGAAAGTTCAAGGGCAAAGATCTTCCTGGAACTACTACTTGCATAAAGAAAAATTTGTCATCATAGAACTTTCACACACCAGAGAATTTAAATGAGAAACAATGAGCAGATCAAGGGCAAAAGACATCAAAGTTTCCTTCTGGAAGAAGCAAAGTGTCACAAGGAAATTAAGAGCTGGTAAAAAAAAGAGGCTGGTCAGAGTATTCTAAACCTAGCTGAGATCATCTGCTGTATGCCAATCATGAAATGTGCATAGTTCCTCTGCTTTGTTGTTGTTATGCGCAGTCGAGTCATTTGCGACTCATAGCGACCCTGTGTACAACAGCCCTAAACCCTGCCTATCCTGTGCCAACCGCACTGCCTCTGACACACTCATCCCGATTACCCCAGTCACTGAATCAATCCACCTCATAGAGGGTCTTCCCCTCCTGCGTTGTCCCTCTACTCTACCCAGCATGATGTCCCTCTCCAAAGACCTGTCTCTCCTTGTAAAATGTCTCTGCTTTGTTGTTATGTGCCGTCGAGTCGTTTGTGACTCATAGCAAACCTATGCACAACAGCCCTAAACCCTGCTCTATCCTGCACCAACTGCACTGCCTCTGACACGCCCATCCAGATTACCCCAGTCACCGAGAATCAATCCATCTCATAGAGGGTCTTCCCCTCCTGCGCTGTCCCTCCACCCTCCCAAGCATGATGTCCCTCTCCAAGGACCCGTCCCTCCTGGCAACACGACCAAAGTTTAGGATCTAGACATTGACAAGTCAAGAACATCTGAAAAATCAGTAAGGATTGCATTACTGGCATTCTCTGACCACTACCTAAGGAGTTGTTTCTTACATTAGGACTTGTAGTACGTGGTTAGCAATGATCATCACTTCATGGTGGGTCTGGGAATCGCCTTCCAGTTCAAAGATGCTGTTTTTCAAAGTTGTTTTTTAAAGATTTTCATGTTTCATTAAGAGTAATAGAAAAATACTTGCCCCAAATACATTAGTAGTAAGAATTTTCTATTACTACTAATCCTTTTTTACTACTTGTAAAAAGAGGTAGCACTTCTCCCTCGTGTTGAACATGTCCGTAATGCACACAGCCAGAAAATTTTAAAGTTCCTACCCTGGATGTCAGTCAAGTCTTTTTTCTACAATGCTTGGGTATTTAGTGCTTCTACCATTCCATTTAATCCTTAACGGCCTTGAAGGTTCCCTCAAGATCTAGTTACTGCTCCCTAATCGTCTCTAGAATGTTAACTATCTCTCCAATTAAGAGACAAGTTTTCTGAGTAAAGGCTCAATCTGACTCCCTGAGGCTTTCCCTTTGAGCCCTAGTATTTCTGTACTGAACACAGAATACACATACTGGGTCTTTTAAATGAAAATCCAACTGTTCTGCTGCTTTCTGAGTATCAAGAACTGAAATTTTCCCACCAAAGTGAGGCTGAGAGGGCCAGAAATGAGGTTTGGGGTTTTTTTAAATTTTTTAGTAATTTTTTTATTATTTGTGTGTGTATCGTCAAATCGGATCTGACTGGTACAGGAGGAGATTGTTCCTCCTTCTCCAGCACAGCATCTGGTCGATTTGAACTGTGCACCTCTGGGACTGTAGTGCAGCTTCTTGCCACTAAGCCACCAGAGCTCATCCAGAAATGAGGTTTTTAAAGAAAGTTCTCCTAAGTAGACTTAAGTACTATGACTTATCCCTCCAATGTCATCTGGAGTGTTGTTATTTTGTAACATCAAATCAGAACTGACCCAGCTGGTTTTTAGAGGCAGTTAATCACATAAAAGGAGACTGCTCTTTTTTCTCCAGTGGAGCATCTGGTGGATTTGAACTGTATACTTTTGGACTGCCAGTACAATTCCTTACCACTAGGTCACCAGAGCTCCCTTCATCTGGAGTAGAGGTCACTTTGTGGGTCTGTCATCTGTTTAACTGTTAAGATGGCCACCTTTCTGTCAGAGGGAGCTGTTTACCTTGGCCAGTAAAGAACACATTAAGATACGTAATCCTGATTTACATGATATGGAAGATGCAAAATCGTGGCTTGGGAAACATGTCTCTAACAGTTCCAATATTTTGGCAACTATTGTCTAGCACTGCTCTGGGGCAGTCTTTATATATATATATAATTATTTTATTGTGATTTTTAAAGTAAGTTTACAGAAAGTTGCTGTTCCTTGTTTTCTATTTCTTTCCGCTAAAAAGAAAAGAAACCCTATTTATAGCACTTTGGCAAAGCTTTTCAAACAGAAGCCATACCGAATATTTTCTATGCTCCAAAGTAAAGAGGATTCCAGGTGGGGAGAATTCCTCAGACCTGGAGGAATTACATGTTAGTGTCCAAGAATTTATCCTTACTTATGTGCTTATTCACATTTAGCAAGTGGGCTATGAAGGATTACTTGGTAACTGTCTATACCCACAACATGTTGCTGCAAACTTTTAAACTGATGTCCGCGCTTAGAAACACATTTTTTTTCCACTATAGCCATCATTTGCGGCAATGTGTTAATCACCTCAGGAGCTTATCAATGTGATCCAAAATATGACTGCAAAACTTTCAGAATGCTTCAGAAATGTTGTCAGAAAAGCAGGTCATCTCAGTCAAATGGAATTTCAAAGCTGTCCTGCGCTATTGTGTTTCTCTATTTTCAGCATTTAAATGACTAAAAATGGTGGTGATACAAATTCTCAACATGCAATGATGTAAGTAAGCTATTAAATTTTTTAAGAAGTAAATGAAATGATAATGTTTAAGAATAATGTGCCCACCCTAAGAGGAGAGAATGATAAAGATCTTACTCTTAAATAAGTTAATTAAATAAGCAAAACACTTGAGGCTATAAATATCTTTTACACATAAGCAAAGCCACACTCCCTGCCTGACATGGAACTCTCTCTTGTTGAGAATATCTTCTCTGCAAATCTCAGAGTCAACAAAGCCAGCCACTGTCTACTGCTCTTCCACAATTCTCCAGTTATGACTGGTCCTCAGCAAGGTGACAGAAGGAGAAAAGGACTTCCAAAGAGATCTCCTACCTTGGCTGCAAATTGGGTCACCCGCTGACTCCTACGAGAACATGACTGGTGTCTTACAGTTTACTCTTCACCACTCTACTCAATCTGTCACCCTTATCAATCTCCTGGGGGAAGTTTATATAGATTTGAACACTCTTATTCCTTCACACCAATGTTCTACACACCTCATTAGGCTGCTCTGTTTCTACATAGGACCTAAAGAAAGGGTGCCTCTCCCCAGGCTCTAGAAATCAGTTCTAGTTATTTCCAACTCATTTCTCCTTAGATCAAAGGAATTAGGCATTCAAAGGAAAGACTGAAATCTGACTTACCTGCATAAATATCTATTCTGGTGGCATCAGCATCTCTGTAAAAATTAAAACAAATAAGCAAAAATCAAGGCCCAAATGAGAATGAATACAAAATAACCATTCAAATGGATGCTATGCAGTTTGTTTTCAGGCAATCATACAATAAGTTTATATACACTTGGTAACACAATTTTCCCCTATGTATTTGTGAAATACTTCTGGGGCATCAAATTATTTCAAGATAATCAGAGACTAGATACGTGTTTTATAATAATGCCCTCACAATGAACACAGAGATGTAGTATTACTAAGAAATTATTCAGATACGTATTTCTCTTAATATATTTTATTTCCAATGTAAAATGATGTTTTCTAACTTCTCTACTCTTCATCCTCACTTAACAGTAAGAAAAAAAGGACAATAATCTGCCATGAAACTTGTGGGAGGAAAAAGTAGGTCTCTTGGTATATTCACTCTGCCAGCAGATTGACCCATGAACGTGTAATCTTATCCTCGCTAACTTTAAAAGGAAGTCAAGGCACCTATTTCAACTCAAGCTATCACCTAAAGTCACACAAGTTCAATTTTCAGTTAAGATCCTTTTTCAGTTCGTAAGTGTGATGACTGGGTATTCATACTTTTGTATGACATGTGCCTCCCTTAAACCTTGTTACGATGTCGGCACATTACCTGTCTGACATGAAAAAAAAACATCAATTAATTTATCCATAAAAGCAAGAAAGTAACTGAGTTCAATGGTGCCAAACCAACTGCAGGCAAGAAAAATGAGGCTCAAGTGTATTTCATTGGTTTTTAAGTGAAAACAGTCCACTTGAAGTATATTCTATTCCATATGGACCTGTTGCAGAGAACAGTCCACTTGAAGCATATTTTGTTCCATATGGACTTGTTGCAGAAATCTAAAAGCATTTTCAGATATGGAAAATTGCTATCAGTGACTTGGAAAAAGACAGGCTAGAAAAAGTGCCATTCGCAGGAATCTTCAGTTCACCATAATCCATAAAATGGAGCCAATTATGGTCACGCTAAATTGGCAATAGGCAAATTCCAATGTTTTCCCCTTAAGCCACAACATTTTAAAACAAAATATAGAATCATGAAGTCAAGCAGGACTGAAACAAAATGGGAATATTCTAACTAGCATACTTCCATGAACAATACAGTTAATGGTAACAATAAAAATAACGGTATAGGTTATACAAAGTCAGAGACAGAAAATTAACAGGGAATCTTTTTAGAAGTACTTTTGCTATTAACTTGTAACCCTTTCAGCCTTTATTAGTCATCAATGTGAATGGATTAATCAATAAATGTCCACAGATATTTACTGTATTCCGAAAAAAGACTAAGACTGAGAAAATATCTTCTAAATTATAAAAAGATTACTAATCTGGACTTTGCTATTTGTTTGTCTCTGAACCAACTCTATTTAATTATGCACAGTAACATCTATATGATTCTTTCACTAAGAACTCAGTACAAGACGATGCACAATAGTGATTCCTTCCAAACTGGACTGCTAACAACGCAAAAGTGCTCTGATTTGTTATCTCACAACTAAACACATATATCCGTAGGACAGAGCATTCTAACATAGCTTGAAAGGCATCAGATAGCCTAGTCTGAATTAAAGCTAAAATAAACTCACTGCACTGCACCCATTCTGACTCACTGCACTGCACCCATTCTGACTCACTGGAACGCTCCTGTCAAGGCTCCTGTGCAGCAAAGGTTGAATGTGAACTGCTGATATTTAGGTTTAGAAGCCAGGCACACAATGAATGTACCAGGTCACCATGTTGCCTATTCTCAGATCAGCAAAAATTAAATCAGGAGCTTGTTTGTTTTATTAATTTGATTCTCAGGTTTCTACAATCTTTCCTTACATTTTCACAACAGTTATCTTGCCCTCATACACAAGGGAAGGCAGCTCTGGAGGTCAGAAGTTGATTATTTTCTGGCTACAACAAAGACCGCAATAAATGAATTTAAGTTAATCAAATAACAGTGGAAGTACCAACCTAATGGGCTATTAAAATCGTTTATTGGCTAAGAGGTCTCTTAGGAGTTGTTGCGGCTCCAAAAATGTCGTCTTTTCAAGTCTTTGGAGAATAAAAGTTACAAAAACCCTGTTAAGTTTTTATATTTATAAGCACACACTGTACATAGCTGAGGAATACATACCGTGCATTATCAACCAGTTCAGCAAGAGCACCAAACAAGAATTCATGAGTAGTTCTGAAATGATAAATATTTAGTCACCCAGAGAATTAAAGAATTATGACTTTAATTAAAAAAGTGAAGACTATTCAGGGAGTAATCTAAATCAATCATCTGCATTATTCATCAACACTACTGCAGTTTCAATTTCTCCATAACACAAGCCTTTTCAGAGCTCACCAATCGTGCTCCACTGTTGACCTATCAAGTCTTGCTATCTACTCAGAAATGTTGATTTTAACCCATTTTCAATTGAGAAACTGCCCAAAACCATAAGACTCCTGTGTACACTGTTAAAACAGTGTTTTTCACTATAATTAAAGTTCTGCTTAAGAAAAAAAAATTATTTTCTATTGTCTTAATGAGCTTAATTATGTTTCTGCTTAACTTGGAGCATTCCCAATGGACCATTTGTTATTTTGCTTTGCCAATTCTCATGTGTGATCTGGTAAGAAAAGTAATCTACACACATTTGTACAGTTTATAAGCAAATTATAAAGAAAAAAAAATTAAAATTGGGAGAATAATCCATTGCTTGACTTTGTCCCAGACAATAGTCTGTCTAAATGGATCACATTAAAGTAAGAAATCTCAGCCCCTCCTGAGCAATTCCTGATAGGAAGTGAAGAGCCTGGTTAATTTTCATATGGTCACTATTAAGGATACCAAAGAACATGGTAGACCGTGGTCATCTCCTCTTTGGGAAAGCTGCTCAAAATCTGAGTTGGTTCAACATACAATTATCATGTTATTCAGGAGTCACTGTATCCTTACACACCTTCTCGATGCACTTTGTGCTATTTCCCACACTGTTACTTGGTGTTGGGTTGTGGCTATGACTCATAGTGATTCTATACACATCAGAATAAAACCTTGCCCAACTCTGTGCTTCCCTCACAATCTCCTGTTAAGTCTAATGTTTCATTCAGTCTTTGTGTTGTTCTATCCCTCTGAAGGTCTTCCCCTGTTTTGCTGACCCTCTATTTTTCCCAAATTCAAAAAACTCAAATTTGTTGCTAGAATTGACTCGTCTCTGACTCTCCAGCAGGTTTTCAGAGGCTGTAAATTACATGGGAAGAGATGTCCCCTTTTTCTCTGGAGCAGCAGCTGGTGGATCCAAACTGCTTGTCTTTGAGTTTGGCAGTGTAACACCTTATTCATTAAGCCACAAGAGTTCCCTATACTAGCTCTGATTAAATGTAAATTGTAAGATGTGTCTACACAAGACCACCAGAAAACTAGCTTGATTTTTGCTGAGAAAAGCATAAAATCACTAACCCACACATAATATATTACAGTTATCAAAGTTGCTATTTTCTGTATACAAAGCTCAACTAATGGATAAAATGTCTAAAATTTAAGAATGAAAATATTAACACTATTAAATAAATGGTAGTCTCATTAGAGTATCTAATATTTATGCTCTTTAAATGCAAACTGTAATGATTTGTTTATAAATACCCAAAACTATTTTTCCCTCATAAGTGCTCACAAACAAAAAATTTTAAACTACCGGTTCTTAGTAATTAAGAACATCCCCCTGTGAGATCAGTGAACGTATCCTGTTGCTAATCTAAAGGGGTCAATACATGCACATAAAAAAGTAGAAAAAGAATCTCCAATTCAACTAAAAAATAAGAAATTCTGACTTTACATAGAAGAGTCCAATTACTAAAACAAAACAGTTCTATCATTGTTGAAAATATTCATGCTTATCACCTCCAACTCTTCAAAATATTAGTTAAAAATAATCTAAATTACTTCCCTACAGAGATAAAAAGATGATCCACCAAAATAACAGTACTAAACCTAATCCATGCTCGCACATTCTAAATCAGTCATTTTTCTATACTGTTGTTGCTATGTGCTATCAAGTACAGCAAGTCTGTGAACAGATCTGAACCCTGTCCTATCTTTATCATCTCTGACTTCTAGAGCGCCCTGCTGCAGTCACTGTGTCAATTTATCTCACAGAGGATTTTCTTGTCTTTTGCTGACTTACTAGTAATTAGAAAATTATAAAATAAGTCTTCTCATTTATTTAACCTTTGATAATTGTTATATAATCATTTCTACAGCAAGACTTTTCATTGCAACATGAATCTCTACTTCAATTTAAGCCACAGAATCTCACCATAGAATCTTAGAAATACTGCTCATGCAGGGGTGGGGTGGGGTGGGGAGGAGGGTGGACAAGAACAGAATCATTAAACCAGAGACACAAATTTATGTGCAGAAATAACTTTAGGAAAGTTAGGTCAGTATAAATAATCTGAAACCCGAATTCTGACAATTTTTGCTATGCAAACCAATGTCAACACTACTGGATTTCCAAAGCTGTGAAAAATGAGGAAGCTCTGGAGGCTCAGTGGTAAGTAGTTGCACTGCCAACCCAAAGACAAATCTACCAGCTGCTCCATGGGATAAAGATAGGCAATCCACTCCTGTGCCTCTAAAAACTCACTGGTGGGTCAGCTATGAGTTGGTTCCAACTCTATGGTTGTTGTTATGTGCTGTCAAGTCGCTTGTGACTCATAGCAACCTCTACGTACAACAGCTCTGAATTCTACCCTATCCAGAATCAATTTCACTGTCTCTGACATATCTACCCCTGTTACTCCAGTCACAACAACAAATCTTAACTGAAACTAAGGAGAACTGGTGGATTTTTTTTCTTGGTTATCAATCTAGCACTGAATGCATTAAACCGTCAAGCCTCCCTCTGCTATCAGGACAAGGAAACCCAAGTTCGAGCAACGACTTCTCAACAATACGTTATTCTATGTTTCACATAAAAATATGAGAGAGAATTCTATAAGCAGATCTCAAATGGGCCAGCAAAAAGAACCCTTCTCCCTAGATTTCCACTGCTTTTTACACAATGGTTGAAATTGTGTCCTTATGCATTTGTTGCTGGGTGTCATCAAGTAAGACTTAGCAACCCTATGACGAACATCAGATCCGAAGCTGGCCCTAGCCTGTGCCATCCTCATCATCTCTGCCACACTAGAACCCATTTTTACAGTCACTGCATAAATCCATCTCACTAAGGGTCTTCTCTTCTTTTGCTGACCCTCTACTTTTTTCTAAGCATGATGTCAAAAAAACCATTTCAATTTGTCTCTTGTTCTACATAGTATCAGAAGCTGTTCCATAAAAAGATTTCAGGTAAGCATGGTATTCTAAACTTTTTCATGCTTAAGATGGCAGTTGTCAAGTAGTATTTTTGTGATGGCAGTAAGCATCATAAAGAGACTTGTGAGACAACAGTTGGTAAGGTCACAGAAAATATTCAGAACCTTCTTCAGACTTCCAATTCACTCATGATGGATTTTGCTAACATGCTTAAAACCCAAAAAAGTTCCAACTCCCTCCTGTCGAATTGGAGTAAGCTCACAGCTAATTCTTGAGAGGCATTTCAGATTATAAATCCTATAGGAGGGACTGCCCAACTCTCTCCCACTGGAACTAATGCTGGTGGAGTCAAAGCAGTTGCCTTCAGATTAGCAGTATAATTCCCTATGGAATATCCAGCAGGTGGTAAAGCCTGTTCCAAACATATTTTTAAAAAACATCATTGGTTAAAATCTGTTTTACAAACAGTTTTCCAAGAAGCTCACCCCTTAACTCTCAAGACAGAAAGAACAAGTATCAAAATTCTTTTCTTCAAAGACCTAAGGATCCTTTACAAGTTCTCCAAAAGAGATCAACCATCTAGAAAACCATTTTTTAACAAGCTTGTTCCATATTCCACTGCTCATGGCTTTAAGCATAATTTGTTCTATGTTGGAAATAGTTTTGGAACTCAGTTTTATGTATGTTAACAATCTGTCTTCATTGCTGGAGGAAAAAACCCAAGAAATTCTAGAGCAACCACTTTAACATATTTAGAGTGTGGATCCATGCTTCAAATGGCTTCTAAATCATATATTCAGAATGAACAGGTTTTTCCACATCCACTTCACATACAGACAAAACTCAACTTGTTATTGTTGGGTCAGAATCAACCCTCCGGTTTGCAAAGCTGTAAATCACAGAGGAGGAGACTGCTCATCTTTCTCAGTAGAAGCTTAAGGCATCTCATAAACCTATGGTCACAACAGAGGAAGAGGAACAAGAACAAAAAGTAGCCACCTTCTACTTAGGCATTCTGCTCTACCAGGCCACTCAGATGCAAAAGCGAACAAGACGACTCACAATATTTATCCCTAAGGAGTACAACTCCCACCACCATGAAGACATCTAAAGCCTGGGTAATTCCAAACTTTTTAATTCCAAATTAAACTCAGTGCTCTTAAGTGTATTCCAATCCAGAACAATCAATCACTGAGTTTTCAAAGCTGTAAATTTGGACAAGAGACAGTCCATTTTCCCTCTTTCAGAAACCCCGGTGGATCTGAACCACCAGCACAACATGTTAGTGACCTTTCAGTTAGCAGCACATGTTGTAGAATATGCTACCAGAGGGCCTTAACTTTTTATTTGCAGGCCCAAATCTTACATAAATAAATTCTTATTTTTAACTCATCTTAGCAACATTCAATATTAAACTAGTCCATGGCTTTCTAGTTGCCATGAGATTTTCTCAGGCCCATTGTAAGCATAAATGTTGACATAACAGCACAATTATCAACTGTTACCTCAGGGCAGATACATAGTTCAAGGCTACTACTCCAAATTCACTAAGAAGCTATCCCCCTAATCAGTGGTACCAAACAGAATGTTACCATTACACTGGCTCACTAATGAGTGGTATGGCTGGAGGGTCAGCTATGAGTCAGTTCCAACTTAATAGCACATAACAATGTAAGTAACAAATCACCACCTACTGTTAGAAACCAGACTGCGATTCCAAAGGCATGCAGTTCAACTGCTCGGCAGGAGAGATGGGCAATCTCCTCCTGTGGAATTTATTGCCTCTGAAAACCTACTGGAGTCAGCTATGAGTCACTTCCAACTCAATGGCACTCAACAACTCAGTGTTTACTGTTTTATGCAGGGAAGGAGCCAAAAACTACATTATTTTATATAATGGTCATGATCACTGTCAGGTTAGTCCAATTTCCTAAATGACAAAACTAAAACTCAGAGAGAGATTCACACAGTAAGGAAGTAGTCCATTTGGGTTTGACTGCTACCCAAGTCCTACCTTTTTCTACCACACCAGAACAATGTCACGTTCCTAGCCTGGATTCTGCCTGCAAATCTACACTAAATGGAATGAGGCAAAACCACTTCTTTCACAGTTAATAGCTAAGAAAGTACTGTAGATGTCAGATGCCCTAAAATGGATTTTTCAAAATCAGAACAAATGAGAAGTTATGGTAAAGCAAATTTTTCTTCCTTGAAGATAACAAAGTGAACCACTCAAGAGTAAAAAGTCACATTTGGGAATTTGAAAGTTTTGATTTCCTTTTTATGATACAATTATCCAATCACATCACCACAATCAAGAAATATCTTGCAATTAGTTACAAAACTGTTATCTTGGTGTTCCAGGATTCATACATTCTTCTGGAAGGGCTCAACACTGTCTGAACTAGAACTTCAAAGGTCAAGGCCATGATCCTTAGTGGGAAATTTCAGAGCTTTCAAATGTTCATACTAGTTTCAATACAACATGGGTAAATCAAATTCCCAGAAAACTGATCCCCTTTATTTTAAGCAAGTGACTAGAGTGAAGTTAAATCTCTCTGCTTTGACTGTCCACCCACTGATAATATGCTATAAAACTGGGAGGAGGAGACAGAAATATTCCAGCATCCCAAAATTAATGGACTTATCAAGTCAGAACTAACATGTAATTGATACTCTAGGGGTTTTCAGAGACTATAAATTTTTTAGGATTCCAAGGCTACAAATCTTACAGGACTAGACTACATCAATTTTCTACAGTGGATTCCAACTATTGGACCTTCAGTTTGCAGCCCAAAATGTAACACATAAGGCTAACAGGGCTCCTTTTGGTCTTAAAAAGTCAATTTAAACAAACAAAAAAAACCACTCAAAACAAAAACAAAAAAACACACTGAACACCCAAGGCCATGCAATCAACTAAGATGAGTAACCTTTAATCAGTCACCTCATCTCAAGCAGATTTCCAGGTTCATCATTCATGAGACTCTGCCTAGGTGACCTTTAAGGTCCCTTTTCTAAAATGTTCAACAAGCTTCCTAGATAAAAACCATACCAAACTTCCACCGCTAGCAATTCACCTAACTACTTAGGGGAAAAGATAATTTTATTTATTTTTTAATATATTTTTGTGTGAGTGTACCGTCAAATCAGATCTGACTGGTACAGGAGGAGATTGTCCCTCCTTTCCCAGCAGAGCATCTGGTGGATTAGAACCGTGCCCCTCTGGGATTGTAGTTGCAGCTCCTTGCCACTAGGCCACCAGAGCTCCCCTAAGATAATTTCTTTGAAAGAAAAACAACCAACAAAGAATAGACATTAAGGAAATACATAGAACACTCTCTCCTATCCATAAAAGGCTTAAACTCTAGTACAAGCATTATTAGAGAACGGAAATCTATATTCTCAATCCTGAAAAGGTTTCTTCAGGTAACTTTGGGCCATATAGTGGGCTGTCCATCACCAGTCAAAGGACTAAAATGGTAGCTTACCCTGACTGCAAAAGTCATAGGTGAATATACTAAATAAAACACTTCTGTATTTTAATCCCACTGGCTCACTTTCAAAAGAATGGACATAAGGATTCCTTGCAAAGTTCTAAGACCAAAATAAACCATGATCTGAATAACAACGAGCACAGTATGTGCTCTAGCTCTGTGATTTGTACACAGCTTGTAAAAATCATAAAAAGAACTGCCTTTAAGTCAGAAATGACTCATCCAACCCTCCAGCGTGGTGGGGGTGGGGGGACAGAAGTTACAGGAAAGATTGCCCATCTCTGAGGAGCAAGATGATTCCAACAGTCAGAGGTGCTCCCTTTGGATTAGCAGAGCGACTCTCAAAAGGACTCTACAAACAGAGGTACCCACATTGAAAGGCAATAAAACCCCTCAATGCTGTCTAGGCTGACCCACTCACACGTAAACCTCCTTTTTCCTTCAGAGAATGGAAACCAATCAACTTAAGAAGCAGCTTGCAATCTTTCACCTGAAGCTAGTCCTTGTGTGGTTGGCATTAAAGGTCATTTATGGATCAGTGTGGGTGAGGCATTTCCTGCTTAAAATATACAAACTACATTGGATGGAGGGATCAATTTTCCCGGAAGATAAAGCCATATATTTACAGAGCAAATTACACATGGTTTCTTCTTCCAAACTTTTGTCTGCAACTAGCTTTCTGTCTTCAATCTTTTAGGCCCCCTCTTTATTGCTGGTATAGCTCGCTGTTGTCACTAAAGAGCAGAGAAAGCTGATCCTGTGATATGCCAACTTTGGGTGATCCAAAGGCTTGGTTTCTAGCAAACACTTCAGTAGAAACATTTCAATGGTATTGACTTGAAAACACTAAAATTTGCCTTTAGAAAGCTTCAATTCAGTATATGGAGCCCAGAGTCTTCTGGATTAGCAAGCAGTATTTCACTGATCTCGATTCTTCAAGAGCTCATCTCGTGGTTTATCTCATTCATAGATGCCTCCCAATAAGTTAGGGGAAAAAAGACATTTTGGAGAAAGGTTTTCCATCCTAATATCAAATGACTTGTTATTGGTTACCTCTGTGGCACCTAATATACTTACGAATTAGTGTGCAGATATTCAAAGGTTAGCTGAGCTCGATTCAAACTGCTGTAATTTGTGAAAGCCATTATCGCAGGGAAGTCGCCAGTTACCCCCTTAACTGGACCCTTAGAATGAACGGAATAGTCTTCTGGGATTTCCTCCAGGAAACCCTGTGCTTCTTAGTTAATCTACGGTTTCTCTAGGGTCTCTCCAAAATATATTCACACAGCAGTCTGAAATAATTCATTTCTCCTTCTCTTTTATATCTTCGATTATGATGTAAGCGCTTGGCAGGAACTATGTCATAAGACTGTAGGCCGAAAGCGATTGGCATTAACGGGCACGCCTTTAACTCCCAGGGATGTAGGGCAGTCCGAGGTAGATGAATTACTTCTCCATCTTCACTGTGGTTTTAAGTCTTGATTGTGGGTGTGGTTTTGTCGTTCCTGGAAATTTCCTATGATCACGACGGTTTACAATCTAGTAATTCACTGATCTGCTATTTTCCATTACGCAACTTGAAGACTCAGGTCTTCACCACCAATGATTTCAAGGATCTTTTAAGAGAGTCCTGCACCGGCAAACACGACGTCTTCGACGGAGTGCTCGAACTCCCAGCTGCAAAGTCCTCTTAAGCGCTGACGGATTTTTCCCCCCACCCCCAAAAGCCTAGATCAAACCCAGCTTGCAGGCTCGCCCCAATCTCTTCTGGATCCTGGGCCAAACGACCTCACACAGGCCCGCTAAATCGTCTCAGTCGATCCGCCCAAATCACCGCAGTCGGGCCGCGCCCCTCCCCCCGCTTCCCTCAGAAGGCGGCCTCAGCCTTTGCCGGCCCTTCCCGGGGCTCGGTCCCGTGGCCTCCTCCTCCCGAGGAGGATTTAAGGTCCAGATTTAAAGTCGGGATAGACGGTACTGGCGAGAGCACCAGCTGACCGGGCGTTGCCGGGTGTTCGCAGCTGCCTTTGTCCCTCCCCACGGAATTGGAACCCAACCGCAGCGCGCGCTTGGAACCATGTGCTGCCGCCGCCTCCGCCTCTGCCGCCGCCGCCCGCTGCCTCACGCTGCGTTGGACGAAGAAATGATGACAGGGCGTGGTGCTGCAGCTCTGCGAAGAGGGTTGCTCTGTCGCCTTCACAGCCACCGATGCCACCACCACCGCCAGGGCTTTGTCTCCGCTCGCGTTAGCTCCGTCCGCCTCGCGCACTCCCTGATGCCCCAAGTCCCCGAGGCCTCAGCGGTTCATTTGGCCAATCAGAGAGGCGCAACTCCTCCCACCCCCGCCTTGATGCACCGCCTCCTCATTGGCGAGCAACATGCCCCCACGTGACCGGATCTGTGCTGCCAGACCCGCCCCTATCACGTGAGGGCTCGCTGCTCTCTTCCTGCTTTCCTGACCCTCTCCGCCATTTAAAGAAACAGTACCGGGGGCGGGCCGAGCGACGCAGCCGGGACGGTAGCTGCGGCGCGGACCGGAGGAGCCATCTTGTCTCGTCGCTGGGGAGTCAGGCCCCTAACTCAAAGAAGCCCTGGCGCGCCCTCCCCCCCTCCCCGGTCTGGTAGGGCGAAGGAGCGGGCGCGCGGTCGATCGAGCGATCGGTTGGCGGCTCTTCCTCCTGCTCTGGCATCCCGCTCTTGGGGCGCAGGCCCGGCCGCCGCGGCGCGCGCCCGGTGGCCGTTGGCGCTCGCGCCGCGTCTTTCTTCTCGTACGCAGAACTCGGGCGGCGGCCTATGCGTTTGCGATTCGACGAGGAGTCGTCAGGGTGGTCGGCGGAGGCGGGCAGCTGCTCCGCCCAGCTCCGGGGGAGGCGGCGGCGGCGGGATTTGGCGCGGCCGGGGAGGCGGGGGTGGCCGGGGCCGGCCTGGAGGCCTGGCGCCACCCCTCGGGGACTGCAAGGACCCAGTTGGGGGGGCAGGAGGAGGCCGGGGGATGGTTGGTGGTGGGCTTTCTGCTTTGCCTTTTTCTCCTTATGCCGCCTTAGTGAGGGGCGGGAGCTCTGGCGGCAGCTCCGGGGTGGGGAGACGAGCCCTGGAGTCGGAAGAGCTGGGTTTGCTTCCGGGCCTAGCCACCAGCTGGCCGAGTGACCTTAGGCAAGTCGCTCAGTAATTTGCGCCTCAGTTTCCTTCTCTTGCCTGTCAATGTCTGTGGGATTGAAAGCGCTTTGTAGACTGTGAAGAAGCGTCGTTTGTAGGTAAAAGATGATTATTGTTTGTAAAGGTTTTTGAGTTGAAAGAAAACTTAGCAATTACCCAGTCCTTGGAATCGTTAACCCTGGAACCTTGGATGGGTGTTGGAGATCTCCAGACTCCCTGAAATTGTGTGCAGACATTTGTGGGGAGGGAGAATTTCTGGGGAGTGAGAATCCGTCGTCAAGTTTTCATAGGAGACTGGGGCCTAAGAAGAGTTAAGAACTACGATTTCTTTGTGCCACAGGGAGGAAACTGAGGCCTAGATTATCATTTGGGACACTTCACTACCAGTTTGAATCCCCTGAGTCCTTGGGATATGTTAGCTGTTTCTATGCATAACAGATCGGGGTAAACAACAGTCCCCTGCTTAAGTCCTTTTTTTTTTTCACCCTGCGGTGCCTAATGGGTGACTGATCCATAATGGTACAATGGCACCTGATACAAAGCAGCTCAGACTAGCAGTTGGTGGTGCATTCTCTAGTATCAAGATGCATATTTAATTTTTAATTTTTTTGTTTGTTTGTTTCGACAACTTTGCTTTCTGCTGCTTATACTGGTGCCTGACTACCTTTCCTTGACCATTTTCTACTGTGGGTTGTTTTTTTTTCCCCCCTGCCCAACTCCCTATCTCTAGTTTTGGTGGTTGGTAGTGAACAAGCCTGTTTTTAAATGGTGCTGCTAAGTCCAGCTATTTAGCGGTGTGTGTGGATTGTTAGCAAACGGCTCCATGGAACATACTGAACCCATCAGGAGATTCCTTAATGTACTGGGGTTTTCCTTTTTTTTTTTTTTTTTTTTGGCCTCTTTGCCTATATTCATTGAAGATTAACACACTTTAAAACTTGTTTTTAGAATTCTTACTGAACTTCAGGAATCAGTAGATTTGAAAGTGATTCAAAGTTTTAACTATTACCCAGTCTGCCTTTTATTTAATTGCTCAAAAGTGTGATACTAGGATGGCCAAAATGACCAGTTTTGCTTCCTTGTTAATTTCAAGCTGCTTTTCTCAAATTCCAGACCATTATCAAACACTATAGAAATGTTTGACAATGTTGAATTTCAAACACTTTCATTATGCCAAGTGGTGCTTAACCAGTGGTACAGCTCAAAACTAACAAACCAACAAGTTTAAACGTATTTTGTCTGGTTAGGTGTTAGCCAGTCCTGGTATTTCATACAAATGTTTGGGGAGAGGGGGAATCATATTGACTACACCTTGTACCTAAAGGGCAGGGACAAAAAACGGTCCCCCTTTGTGAGAAAAGACTTTTTTTTGGAGAAAATGTATTGCTCTTTTAGCTCTTTTATAATTGAATCTGGATGTACCTCAAAAGAATCTTTTTAAGACTGTGGTGATAAGATACTTTCTTCAGGAGAAAAGAAAATCAGATGAAACTCTGTCAAAAAGAATGAGGTGTTCAAGATTTATGTTTCAAAGGGTTTCATTCCATTGTTCTGCACTCGCTGGAGCAAGTTTATTTTGATATAGCCACAGATGTGGAATCCAGACTTCCAAAAACTGCACCTGGGCCCCAGGAGAGCATATCAGCATGAAGCAGGAACTCTAGAGCTGGATTTTTTTAAAATTTTATTTTATATTTTTGTAACACTTGACCTTGTTGTGGGAAAAGAGGCAATGATTGAACAAGCACTGCCATAAACACTGTTCCTGGAAATCTGAAGACCAGAGTTTCTATCCAGACCTCGGTGTATACTCTGACAACACCCCATCCAAAGTGAACCACGGTATTTGCCATTTTCCAAAATGCTTTCTTGACCATCTCACTATTGCATGATCATCTCACTATTGCATATGTTTTCTTCTGTCAACACTCAGCCATTTCCCGAATATCCAACTCATCTAGATAACCTCCTTGCCACAAATCTCTTAATTTCAGCCAGAACTAAGTTTTATAGTATGCCATTGTGTATTTTGAAAGAAAATCCAATCATATGACACCTTGTAAAATAGTTTTCATACATTTGGTCTCTTTCCAGAAAGCAAACCCCTTGAAAGCAAGGGCCTTGGCTGAAGCATCTTTGCCCACACACCACTACCCAAGATGAAGCTTTTATTAGAAAGGAGGAATTTAGAAAGCGAGTGTTCTCTGAATAAGCACTCAGTAAGTGTTTGCTTAATTGTTGTGTGATAAAGTTGCTCTTGAGTAGAAAAGTCACTGGGTGTGAGCAATGTTTCTTCATTTCCTGTATTTAATTTTTTTATTCCAAATTTGAAAAGGGTTTAAAGAGTCCTCATTTATAAAGAGAAATAATCTGTTGAAGAATACTCATAAGAAGGTTACAAAACTCAGCACCGTCCCTGGTGGGTATTTATCCTCTCCCACTCAAGATAAATAAAAACTTGTTAAAGTGAAAGTTAACAGCATTTTTTTTTAAAGGGCAAGATCATAAGAATTGGGGAGGGCATCTCCTTAGCTTGTTGAATTTTAAAAGTAAAATGTCCTCTTACTGTACTTTTTAAAGAGCTACTCCCTTCTTCCCCCTTAACTCCTGCCCAGGGGGCTGAATATATTCAAATTAACTCCTGATTGCCAGTCTCTGGGGCAGTTTGTTTCCAAGAACCAAAAAAGAATCGGCTTGTGAACTCTTTTGTTCTTTTCAGAGATTTTCAGCTAGATTTGGGGGGGGGTTTGCTTTTCTACGCAATTATCATTCTCATCACTCCAAGCCAGGCCTGTTGAGATTTAGTACCCATTAGACAGCTGATGTCCTGTTTTTAATTCCATGCATTTGTTGTTTTACCTGCTTTGTCCCTATCCCCTCTAGTCCTGTGCCTCCTGATTGCTGTGTTCACCTGGACCTTCTGACTCCCTTCCTCGTACTAGTCCATCAGTCTGCAGAACCTGGATTTTTGCCCAGTGATTCTCCTACCACC